TGCAACTTAGTATTTATTAGCAGTCAAAAATATGCTGTAATGGTGCCCAAAAACCTACGTGGAAATCACAGAATATTCCGAGTTGGAAGGGACCCACGAGGATCAAGTCCAACTCCTAAGTGAATGGCCCAATAGGCATTGAGCACACTACCTTAATGGTGTTCTCACCAACTGAGCCAATCTAATGTCAGACCAAATGTGGGGTGTTAGGCTTTATTGATCTTTCAGTTTGTACAGTCATTACCATTAAAGGCTTCTGTTTGGAGTTTCAGGCATACAAGCAGTGGGGAAAATATAGAATGTACAGGAAGGTAAATAGTACCATATGTCAAACCTTTGAAGATGTATTATGCTCACTCAGTGTCTTTTCAAAGAGCATGCACATTCAATACAGGATAGACTTAAAAAAAAAGATAAATTACAGCTGTGCCTATACAACATGTACAGTTGTAGAAGTCAATACTCATTCACCTTCAAAGTCAGCCTGCTGTGGGACAAATTTGGACCAGGAATTGTTTTACTGCTGTGATGAGATAAAAATTTTCCTGTTAACAGAGATTATTACATCAAACTCAGCAGTGAAATAGTATGACTGCATTTCTCCTACTCTAAGCAATATCTGGATAGGATAGACTAGAAACATCATAATGCGTATCTTCCAATGCAGATGTGGTCCTAGATCATATGGAGAAAATGATAAAAATATGTTTCACCATAGAGAAAGAGCAGTTCTCTGAGATAATACATTTTTTACCATACCGAGAAACAAACTTGGCCTGCACAGGACTGTCTGCATTCTTATAATTCATTTACTTTTCAGAAATTTAGCAGCATAAATAAATTTTTTTTGATGGACTTGGTAACAGGTCAATAAGCCTGGAGATTTTACAATATAAAAATAGCAGTAAATCTAACATGAAAGTAACAGAATGAAATTATTCTATTTTCTAACACAGAAAGGTAAAGATCTGTTTCTGGGCAAAAAAAGGTACACAACAAATGTAAAAGCTGCACAAGAAATCAACAGGAAAATAAATAAAAGTCTATCTAATTATTTGATCGACTTTCTAACAACTGTTTCACTAAACTAAATATTTTTTCTCCTATGTTTTCTGGTGATTTCCTAATTTAATTGTTTTCAGGATAAGGAAATGAGATAGGAAAATGGAAAACACATTAGAGACACTAGAAATAACATTGAATTTTATTGCACTAAATCAGGCTAATGACAGCTTTGAGAGTACAGAATTAAATAAAGAAAGCTAGACTGTTGAAACAGGTAACATATCGCATAAGCCTTCATGCTATTGAAAACTGAAATCTTCATAAATAATGTAAGGTATGCAGAAATTATGAAGATTATCTTTAAAATTACACTATTATGTACACAAGTATTACACTAAAGCTTCTGGTTCGGATTTTGACCCTGGCGCAGACCCAAGCCCTTTCACACATCTTTAGTGAACCCTTAACGACTACAGATAAAAAGATGTATGTATACTGTTCAGATAGATTTTGAAATTAATGGATAACTTTATAATGATGAATATTATTTTCAGGTTTTCAACATATGAAAAATGAGGCTCTGTGCTTGAGTGAGAGTGATGCCTCATCCAAACTTAGAATCATAGAATAGTTTAAGTTGAAAAGGACCTTGAAGATCCTCTTGTTCCGACCCCGCTGCCACAGGCATGGACACCCTCCACTAGAGCAGGTTTGCTCAGGGTCCTATCCAACTTGGCCTTGCTAATGCAGAGTGCAAGAGATATGGTTCAACAATCCAGTCAGTTTGAGCTGACATGCCAGCTGAACATACACACACACAAATGGTTGCAAAAAGAGAAAGCACTGATTAAAACTGAGAATTTGCTACTGCTTGCAAATTGTTCTTCAAAGGCTAAAGAACAAATGGCACTATATAAAAGATGCAATTATGTTAGTCATTTGTTGATGCAACATATCTACTTTTTGCTTACATATTTCTGAGGTAATCAAAAGCTTTATGTTATGATATATTTAGCTAATACTACTATGACACCAAATCAAATAAATTCTTCCTATAAAATGAGGAGGAGCATTTTAAATTGGAAAAGTTGAAGGCAAAGGGATTTCCTCAGTAGCTGAGTAACTGAAACAATAGCATGTGTGACAATTGACTCCTAATTCAATAACAAAGCAATTTTAGAGTATAACTGACAACCTTAACTAGTTTAAGAAAACAATTCTCACTAGTACACTAGCAAAATCTAAGTTTCTACTTGCCAGCTGCCATGTCTGAAATTCAAGCTGAAGATTCTCTCTTCTTTCAGTTTAAAACTCCCTCACAAAATGTGTAAAAAAGAAATGCAAACAATGAACATGTAATAGTTATACGTGATAATCTAGGATGAGGCGTGTTCTTTGCTAACAAAAACATAAGCACTTCTAGAACCTACCGACACCAAAAAAACTTTTTATTTGAACAATTCAACTAGAAAAAAAAAAGACAACATGCAACTATGCAAGAAAAATCTGTCTACAGTTACTGGAAGTTGTTTCAAGTGGATTTTGAAATAAACAATTTGCAAGAATATTGTTACTTATTGTCATAAATACCCAGCTCAGATGATGTAAGGAAAGAAAACTGCAACGGTTAGCATTTAACCCTTTTCAAATAACCACTGTAAAACTGCCCTACATACACAATCCATCCTAACTGTTTAATATTATTTCCATTGTTTGAACTGCTTCTACAATGATTTATTGATATTCTTAAATCCTGTGGTATCACTCATACAAATGAGTGAAATAGATCCCTGAAAACTTGTAAGATCAGGTTCTGGGAATGGCTGCAGGTAGTTCTTAAAATTTAGTATGCAGAAGAACATATTAAAAAAAAAAATCAGTAAATATTACTTACACCTGCATATCTTTTAAAACTTGCTCTTCTGGAAACTAATGATTTGAATATTTAATCCCATGACTTAGTATTTAAAACTTTTGGGGTTGAATACATAGGCCTCTGGATTTTGCTGAATTAATAGCCCTATTAATTGAGGTGTGCAAGACAATGTTAGAAGAATTAGTTATGAGTTCTGACGAGGCCTGAGGTAAAACCTAACTCCTGAGAAGAACATCTAATGCTTTTGCAATTGTCCCTCTCAGACTTCTTTCCCACTCTTTCACAAGCCTCCCCAGCCAGCTGGCAATTTATTCCATCATTGAAGTCTGTCAAAAACCATGACGAGAAAGCTTTTCAAACCCATACAGAAATTTGAAGGTTAAAAGGAAAAACTGAAGTCAGAAGATTCATCTGGTGGATATCAGAGTATTAAAATTACATATTTGCAAATAACTTATTTTGCTGCGTAAGTTGACAACCATGTTTTTCACCAGATGGTGTTCTTTCAAGACATTGTGCTTCATTCTTCAAACAAATGGGATTAATCAAGTCTGAGGCATACAAATGTGTTCAGGTCTGAGTTCAACAGGAAAGAGAACTACATCCTAGCCATTAGCAGACAGAAAAAAGAGTTTTAGCCTGCCAAGGAATGTACCAATGTATCTTTGCACTGTTGAAGCTTTATAATAAAAGAGAAAAAGAGTAAGAACAGCTTGAGGCTTACGGTATTTTTCAACTAAGGGTCTCAAAACAGTAACTTGCCTGCAGAAGAAATTGAATGCTTCTTGGTTACAGATTTTTCTTCATGTGATATCGATCTGTAATTTTTTTTTTTTTTTTTAATCAGTGCACAGGCTGCTTGTCCTAGTATGGGCTTCCTTTATACTAACTCATAGAACTTTTTTCCTTTTTTCTTTTTCTTTAGCCTTCTGGCCTTATTTAACCTATTAGTTCTTGTTCTTAAATACTTCTTTTATTTTTGATAATTTTGGGGTCATGATCCATTCTGGTTGTTATTATTATTATTATTATTATTATTCAAATGCAATTTTAAAGACTACATAAAAGCTCTAATACTTCTAAAAAAAGAATTTATTTAGGTGTCATTAAAATTCCTCTCCTAGCACAACTTAACATCAGATATGATGGCTTTATGCATGCTATATATATGTACACAGTGAGACCTTTTTCAACACTGAACTATCTGCATATGTTTACAAGTGTTACACAGCAAATTTTTCTCAAACTAAAAAAGGTGAATTCAAAAATACTTACGTCTCTTGTCTACAAGAACTGTTAAATACAAATGCTAGTTACAACATGAAGATAAATATTGAGGTTTGTTACTTCCAGAACTTTAAGAAATAAAAAAATAGAAAGTGAAAAATAAAATTACTTCTGCATTAGGGAGAAAATACAGCCATTTTCAGAGATACATGAAAGGGCATGACACATGACACAAGAGCATGACACACGAAAGACATGAAAGAGCTCGAACACTCAGTTATATTTTTGTAGAGACAACTGGTCTCCTGAGATTGGGTTTAAGGCACACTGGCAAGGCTGTACGTGTAGTATTAGTAAGTGTTTCTGCTACTTTTTTAGGTCTGCCATTCTAAGTATTCCCTGAGCACAATAACACAAGCATTTTAAGACATAACATTATAAGGCATTATCATTATAACAGCTATCATCTATACATTACAAAAGATTGCAAGTGCAAATGCTGCCAAGATTATTCAACTGGTAGCAGAATGTCAGGCCACTCTGAAGGAATGCAGAGACATATGCCCACCTAAAATAGTTCCACGTTTTTTGTTGAGTTATGCTCAAAAGAATCTTTTTTTCTGAGAATTTACTCAAAGATTCAAGATTCTGCCACCAAATTTATACTCCGGTTTTGTAAGGCTGTCCCACAGAGTATTCACATCAGTTTGTAAACGTCATCAGCACCTTGAGAGAGCTTTAAATTTAAAACCCTTTATTTGTGGATGCAGAACTAGCACAATATGACTGATGTTGAAAATAAAGCTTTCCTGTTTCAGTTCAGATTTGAATGATATGCTGTAAATCATCTTGGAATAATCCAATAAATATTCTCTTAATTAATTACACTAACCTGTTTGTCTGGAAAGAAAAGGTAGTCTGTGAATAGAAGAGCTGAAATCTTTTGCCTCTTTCAGACTAAAACAGCTAGATAGGCTCTGCCTATCTTCCAAGTTTATAGAAACAGACTGCTCCAAGGCTGAAGAACAAGCAGACGTGGCATTAAGCTGGGAAACAGCATCTTGTGCTTTCTTTTTTTCTTTTTTTAGCATATTAATCAGAATATCTGCAACATACATTAAGGAAATAATTAAGAATTTTTTTTTAATATATATATATAACAACAATCATCCACCTTAGTTTTTCCAAACATCAGATTCATTTTTACTAAACACTAACAAATTCACATGTTGACCACAAGTAGTTGATCCCATTCAATCAACTCTTGATAAAAGCATTTCCATACAAACAGGAAGGAAGAGTTTAGGATCTGCCATTGTGTGACATTCCCTTTTTATTTTTAAAATTCTGTAATAAACAAGACTTCCAAACAAAAGGAAAAAACCGTCTTAACTGTGAAGGTTTATTAAAATGCAGAAAGGTCTTTAAGAAATTTCTTGCAATAACATTATGCATTTACTGGAAGTAAATCCGGTATAAATACATTTTGTCTAACAGCTCATAGAGGGCGTGCAATAGAAATCATATGTGTGTTCAGATGAAACCACAGAAGTCCCCGTGATATGTTTTTGATAAGTTATTCATTTTAATCCTAAATAATCTTCTAAATAACCAGTGGAAAATCTAAGTAGTCTTTAGGGAATATTATTAACTTAACTAGGTAGTAATAGTAAAACACTTTCCAATTCAGTTGTTATGACAGGTTCTAGTTACTGTAGGCAAGAAGGAACTCACAGTTTATTAACTAAACAGCTTCCATACTTCCCACCACTTCATCACATCAGACATGTTATTAATGTGATGATGTAGAGTCACTTAGTGACTCTCTGAATCAGTCTTGTCTTCAAAGTCTTAATTCTTATATTCTTCCTGTATATTTCTAACACAAGTTTCCTCCTTGTACAAACAAAGCTGTGTAAATCTATTGAGCACAAGTGCATTTGATAGAGATCTTTTGCTTTCTTTCTCATACTAGTGAAATAATTCATTTCAGGAAGAAATATTTCTGGGAATTCAGATATTAAAATTGACATAAAATTGAAGTGTTTTTTGAAAGGAATGAGTCAGTGGTTTAGATAAATTTATTTGAACTCGCACCATGGAGAAAGAAAATATTATCATCTGTGACAGAGTAGATTTAGAGAAGCTTTCCTGCCACCTCCAGTTCAGACTGGTAGCACGTTACACCTCAATGAAAAATGCTATTTTCGTTTGACATTTAAAGTTGATCAGGAGTTGTTGAGCACAAAGAATGCAACTGCGTTTGCTCTTTACTAGTATCTGTGAGACAATCTGTGTTATCTTCAAACTTAGCAAACCCATATTTTCTTTTCTCTGCCATATTCAAATTTTACCCACTGAGCAGCCACAAAGTTAGGGACACAGCAGTGTTGCAGTTTGCCCACAGTTCTGTCTCCCTGCTAAAAATAACTCCCACCCACTGCGCTATAGCACAGCTACTCATGTTTCTTGTGAGGTAGTAAAATGGACAAAGCACATCTGAGCAGTTTAGTATTTTCATGTCCAAAAAGATTTAGCTTTAAATTTTAAAGGTAAAAGTAAAAAGTACAGCTTTTATATTTGTTCTAAAGGCATATAGCCCAATAGTCCCCAAAGTAGCACTTCATTTGGCTAAAAATAACACATACAGGAAATTCTATTCTTTGTAAGGTAATAAATTGGTTTTTATATTGCATGAGAGTTTCCCCCTCTAAAAAATGGTTTAATTTGCTTGAGGAGAGTGTTTTAGGTGTGACCTGACCCACAGTATTTGGATATTTGGTGGACCATTCTAAAGCTAAGTGGTGCTTGGATCTAGGATTTTGATTTGGGTAACGACTGAAAGAGACGCAGGTGCAAAGCAGAAGTCCAATCACACAAAAGCTGAGAATGGAGTATTTGTTTAAAACAGTGGGGTCAGCTTCCATACAGCCTATCTCACACACAAATCCCACTGTAAGCCAGATCATCTCAAAACAATATTTTTTTTCCTCACAAAGGATACTGATTTCATCGTCTCTTTGCTGCAGAAGGTGTTTAAGTTTTTTCAGTTCTTCTCCTCTCAATTCTTTGTTAGTGTCTTCTTCTTCAGAGATGTCTTGCGAGAGCAGTTTTTTATCAGAATTTGTGGGATGATTCACTAGTTGCTATTAGGAGAAACAAAACAAGCATACTTTTAATTTTACCTCCAGCTCAGTAGTATTCTACTCTGAGATGGTCTAGCTATAGTAAGAAAGGTGAAGCCTTTCTAGGCTCTTGACAGAACAAAATCATGCCATCAGTCTACTGTCAATTTATATCCATTGTGTCTTGTAGGGAACAAATTGTATTTGTTAATCTTCACTACCAAGTATACAGTTTACTTCATTCTTTCTGGACATAAATTCCAGTGTTCTCTGGTATCACAGAACTTTCAATATTAACAATATAACTAAAAATAATTATTTAAGGACAAAAAATGAATATCGGGAATGCATACATTGTTTTATTAGAAAAACTGTATCTCAAAATACAGAGAAGTATTATCTTCTATTCCTTTCCCCACTAATTTCACAATTAACAATCGTATTTTGTTTGCTCAATGATTCAGAAGGGCTTGTAACACCTTCAGGAGCGTTAGTGTAACAGATTCAGGGATTTAGTAGTTTTAATCTACATTTTTTTATCTTTCAACATAATTTGTCCAAAATAAAGCCTCCATAGAGCTGGAAATACAGATGTGAACATCAAGCCATATACAAATAACTAGTCTGTGTTGATTCCAACAAGTACCAGTGCTCTATTACAATTTAATGCAGGCTGAGATCCTTGCTGAGGTTTTCACAAAACACTGGTGAATTTTTCCAACTAGACTTAAAATTTCTATCAGTCCTCCAGGCACTTCAAAGTTGAGGGGTTTTACCCTTTTCCAGCACCTCTCAACTGTATTGCATTTCTTTTAACACTTTTGAACCATGAATGTCTTCAAGTTATTTTCAGAGTGCCACCTGCACTTCCATCTATGTTTAAAAAAAATACCTTCATATGAATGAAGCAATACTTGATCTTGCGCATGTCAGCACCAACATCCAGAGTGCTATCAGGATCATTATCTTTGAGGAATGTTTCAATTAACTCATCCAACCTGCAAATACATAAGAGAAGAAAAAAAAAAATCACAAACAAGCGGACAACTCTGCAAAGTGGTGTGTCAAATTCAATACAAGATGTACCAAGCTGCCAGATATTAGTAGGCTATTTTCCTTCAAGGTCCAGGCATTTGAAATGTACCTTTTTTCTGATTACTAAAAGCTGGATTTGATACTGGAGATCCTACAACTGCATATGTAAACATATTCGCTAAGGAATAGTCCCAGAACTAACAGCATCTAAAAAGTAATCTTTTTTTTTCTCATTTATTTTATAACCTTTTATTCTTTTGTTGTTTCATAATTGGCAAAACCTAAAGCCTGCCCTCTCAGAAGACTAGATTTTTAGAGGCTTTGGACATAGGATTTGCTACTATATATGATTATTTGTGCAAAAGAAAAGTCCTCTTCTATTACAATAGTCAGCAGACAGCACAGCTTTCATACATCAAATTACCTGCTCCAACCACCAAGCAAAGCAAACTGTCTTTTAATGCAGATATTTACAGATTTCTCAAAGACCTACTGCTCTTCTGAATAATGAAATGCAGTAAGTATTTTATTCTCTTGCAATATGTTCTTTACAAACAACTGACAAAATCTTCCTTAGGGAGAAACTATTCTCATTTCAGTAATTCAGTCTGAGAAGGCCAAGAGTTCAGAACCATCGCTGTGCCGAGTGTTTCTTTTGGATGAGTTTGGTTCAGCTCCTCACTTAATGTGCAAGCCTTCTGAATGTCATTTCATAGGAATTTAAGTGATTTAGCAGTTCAAGGTTTGTGAAAACAACATATGAATTTATGCAGTAGCAAGATTTTCATTTCTGCAAATGAAAAAAATGAACAATGCTACTTCATTTGCAGAGATGTTAACAAAATAAATCAAGAGGATGATAAAGAATCACAGGAGGAGGGGAAAAAACACAACTGAGAATAAGCACAAAAAAAGAATACTGACAATACATTTTCCTTTTTCCTAATATAGATTAGACAAGGTATATTTGCTTTCTAGGTGGTACAGAAACAAATGACAACAGAATTTACAAGATGAATATCCTTTTACCTATCCTATTCCTGACTCAAACAGTTTATTATATTTATATCTACAAATACCCATAAAAATTAAATTAAGTATATGGAATATATGAAAACTCAAGCATAGAATTGTGAAAAATAGGGCTGTAAAAGATTTACGGAATTCATATAGGACATCTACAGTTAAAACTCCAACCCATTCTTTCTAATCAAAACACTGCACACAGGCTGTAGTTGCTCTCCTAATGAAAGAGATGAAGTGAGAAAAACCCTTCTGGAAGTAAAGGAGAGCCAAATTGGCTTTTGGGTTTCATTCAACTTCTTTTAAGAGATGGATAATACCCTTCTCCTCGGCAATAACAGTATCTTTGGAGGTAGTCACCTATCTTTGATTTTTAGTTCTCTACCAGAAGAATGCATATTAAACTGTCTTCCTCCAACCAATGACTGTTGCAAGAGTATACATCAGCAAGAATTGAACCAAAAAAACACATAAAACAGCCCAGCACTGAGCAAATCTGGGTCTAGGTGTTCAAGAGGAACAACAAGCCCATGGACAACAAGAATTCCAGAGAACTCCCTAGCAAATCTTGCCTTTACTTGCCTACTCAGAGGCACACGTAGGTGGCAGAGCAAAGGTAATGTAAAATCATGAGGCCAAGTAACACTGTTCTTTTTCTAAAGGACCTTTTTTCAATTCAGTCATAGGAGAGTAACAAGAAATCATAGGAAATCAGAAATATTTTTAATCAGTTATTGTGGCTGAGACATACACCTACACCTCTCTTAGTCAGTCAGTCAGTATTTCCTGGAAGAGTTGTTAACTACCGTTTCTTTCGAAAAAGACCAGAGAAATCAAACCTTACATTTACTGATGACTGGCTTCTGCTATTACGCCAAGGATAATGGTTAAGATTTACAAAAAAGAAATTAGGAAATTGCCCAAGGAAGGTTATTTTGATAATAAACTTGCTAAAGGAAAGAGCATGCTTGGCACAGAATGTGTACCATATCAGAAAAATTTCTAAGTTTGTGACTGAGATTTTCTTCTCCCAAAACAAACTAGGCTGAAGCTTAATTTCCCCATGACAAATTGCCAAAATTCAATAAGAAAATAATTTAGAAAAATCAGAGATATTCATGTACATTGGTTTTACCATGTAACTGAGAGTGCCAAGGTAATTCATAAACTCAAGGGGAGGAAAAAAGCCCAAATACTTTTGTTAAAACTTGTAACAAAAACCAGCTAGAATTAAGAAAAAAAAAAAAAGTCAACCAAGAAACATATCAAAACTCCTTTCCAGAGTATCAAATACATACAGGAACACTGCTGCTTTCAATATGGTTTTTTTTCCCATCCTTGACTGTATTTACGAAGACTAGCACTACAGCAGTGGTGGACCTTACTGTTATATGAGAGATGGACTATAGAAGAAATAAATTCCTGTTTCAACATTCTATTTCTCTATTACAACTTACAAAATGAGCTTTGCAAGACACCAATCATAGCAGAAAGAATAATGCCCTAACTAAAATGAAAATTCAATACGATCAACCCAAAGACCTAGTAATGAAGCAACACCAAAAACCACTCACAGAGGAGAAAACTGAATAAAGACATGGTCTCTGTCATTGGAAGATCAACACCAGGAATTTCACTTCACACTGGAGATACCTTTATAAGAAAATATTTAGCCCCATAATTTCACATTGCTCTGCTTAAAAAGTCAAAGTGCACTCAGCTTGATGGGAAAAAGCCATGGTGGAAACTGTTTAGTAAACTGAAATTCAATGGAAACCTAATTATGGGGTTGGGTAGAAAGACTGAATTGAAAATTCCTGAACTGCTCACTTGTCACACTTGTCTGCTACAGTGGACATATGCAGTATGTATCTGTATTTAAGAATTTTATACTCTTAAGGATAGACCGTCACTTCAACTTCTTTAAATTTGAGGGCATTTTATTTTACTGGTGAGTTACATCAGAAAAGGCTACATTAATCTGAAATAGAAGTAACTAACCACAAAATACTTGCACTGAAAGTATTAAACATAACCTCCCCCCCCAAAAAAAAACATTTTAGAAATCCTAAACCCTCTATTTATGTGTAGAAACAAATATTAAAGTAAGTCTTTCATTTGTTGTAGTTAATAACATTAGCAAGCCAGCTGCTGCATTCTTCATTAATTACAGCTTACTGAGGCTCTCAATAAGGCTGCCATGCAGAATTTATGCTAATCAAAATTGGAGCATGGATAATCACAGCTAATTTCACATGACAGCAAAATCAGCGTCATATGAAGATGTCTCATCGAGATCCAAAATGGTTCCTTTTTTTCCCTTTTCTCTTGTATGTTGTAAAGTAAAGGAAGTTATAGAGCATTAAATATTTATTATTTAATGTTATTACAGTAGATGAAGCCTCAAAAGGCAATTTTTCATACATTTCCATTCTTACTTTTAGGACTACAAAGTTCTGCCCTGAGAACAGCAGGCCTAACTTATACTAATAAGAGCAAGGGTGTGCTGAGGCCTATTGCCAGAACCCCGCTGTATCAGAAAGAATAGCTTTCCCAACAGAAATTCCCCAAAGGAGGAAGAATATGAAAGTATCAAACAAAGACCCATTTTCTGTGAAAAACAGCAGTAAACAAAGAATGGCGTTTTCTTTCTCAGTGCTCACTAGAAAAAAAAAAAGAAAAAAAAGAAAAAACAGATTACACACATACATGCACAAAGGCTTTCTCAGTCAATGTGAAGGGAACAGTATAATGTGAATTAAGAGATAAATTTAAAACTAATTTTCACAGTGGCCTTTTACATATTGACATAGTACAAAAACAAAGGTATTGCAGTGCTGATACAGGTAAGTTTAAATCGTTAAACCAGAATCTGAAAACACAAGCTTTGTCAAGCACAAGTTCTTATGTTGATGATTGGAAGAAAACTCACAGTAGAACAGTCTTAAACAGTTGGGATAGAAATGTGTTGAACTAACAGCACTCTTGTTAGTGACTGTGAATCAGTCCCAAATTCTTGGTCTAGCATTTCTCTCTTTATATCTTCTTTTCTTTTTTTTTTTTTTTTTTTTTTTTGCAAATAATGTAAACACACACTGTACTGCAGCTTGGAGACAGCTTTTACATTATCAACTTTATTTCTCTTCTGTTGCTTTCCAACCTTCAGAAATTCTTCTTTAATGTAGACTGCTTACCATTTAGACCATGCATAAATCACAGAAGCTCTCTGTCCACATTATTTCAGATTCCACCCAATTTTTCTGATAGCACAACTGCAAAATGATTAAATGAGCACTGTGCTATTTCACTTTTACCCATTCATTAAATAACAGACTTCCATATTTTTTAAAAAAATCCACTTCTGAATCAGTCATATGTTTGGATGAACCAGGATGCAAATTGCACAGCTGAAATGCATCAGAAAAGCACTCCCAGCCAACTGAGAGTATGTTTTTAAAGTCTGGAGCTCTCAATAGCTTGCAGGATGCATGGTCTCAAATCACAGATTTGGAAGGACTTGTTTTGACCTTGCTTTATGTGCCATGATTAATTTCTGGGAGAGCTTGCCATTTAACCCCTGATCCACTGTATATTATGTATTGAAACTAAGTTAACTTAAAGAACAATTAATTTTGTGTGTCAGCTGTGAAGCTTGGGACAAGCAAAATGGAAATCCAAGTTTATGAAAAATAGGCTGCTAACAAGACAGCTACTAAAACACTTATGGTAATCAGAGAGGTTGCTTTAATTAAAGAAGTTGTTTGGCTTGATTTTCACTGGTAACATACTTGATATGAATCTTTCCTTCATATATTAATTCTGAAAATGATATTTAAGTTTAATAATGATGTCTATATTCTTTAAAAAAAGTAACTCTACACCTCTACAAATTTAATGACTCTACTGATCTAAGAAAATGCGTGATAGTTGGAGCTGAATT